GTTCAAATAATCCACTACGGAGTACTCCCTTGCTTGCACCTTTCTCCAAAGATCATCTAGGCCAGTTTCAGTGACAGGTTGTTTGGGAGTGGCTTCTTTACTTGTTCCTCCCAAATGCTCAGGTATGTAAACCTTATCGGTCCTGGTCATGCCTTCTGCGGCACCAGTTTCTTCCATCTTCCCTTTTTCTTTCCTTCTCACCTCTGCAACATAGTCTCATGGTATAGCATTGGAATTAAAGGATGGTGTGGGGGATACCGTCACAGTGAAGAGTGTGGTCACTTCCACCTCAAACGGAGCTGGTGCAGTTGAGGGCGTTGTTTTTTTAACCTCAAATGGAGCTGGCATAGCTATTTCGACCTCAATTGGTGACTGAACTTGCATTATAATGGGTGTGAGAGTGACTGGAGGTATTTTGGTTTCATCCCCTTCACGAATGAGTCCAATTGATACTTCTGGATCCCATTCTTCGTCAGTTTCTATCACATTTACCCCCTCACCCTTGTGATCCAGGAGGAGAATGTTGCAGATATTTGGTGCAACCTCTTTTGCTTGTATAACCTTGGTGTCAATTAGAGTTTGGATCTTATCTTTCAAAGTGCAACATTCATCAATAGTGTGTGCCTTCATGCCCGAATTGACCCACTGGGAAGAGTTTTCCATAGCAACAACAAGAATGGGGGTGACATAACCGGCAGCCTTCAGTCTTTCATAGAGCTGATCAATGGGTTCAGCAAAAAGAGTGTATTTTCTGGGTGGTCTATGGTCGAAATTTGATCTGGGTTTCTGGTAGTTTTGGCGGGCTGGTGGTGGTGAGTGGTAATATGCAGGCTGTGTGTTATAAGTATGGTAAGTGGTGGCGGGTTATTGGTACCTGGAGGTGAAGGCTGATATGTGGGTGGTGGGGTTTGGTATGTGAGAGGGGATTTTGTCCCTTGGGCTACCATCACAGTTCCTACTTCTTTCTTTTTGGATATACCCCCTGACTGTAAAGCTTTATTCGTAGCCTGTAATGCCTCAAAATTATTTACCATTCCGCTCTTGATTCCTTCTTCAATTCTTTCCCCCAATTTAATGATGTCAGAAAACTTGTGATTCTCAATAACCATTAACCTCTAATAGTATTGTGGATCTTGGACCCGAACAAATAATTTGTTCGTTTGCTCTTCTTCCAATGCCAGCCTTACTTTTGCAGCTTCTAATATCCATCGAGTAGCATACTCGCAAAAAGTCTCTGTTGACTTCCTCTTGAGATTTTGGATATAGAAGACATCTGGTGCATTTTCTGTATTAAACTTGAACTGATCCATGAAATTCGATACCATGCTTACCCAGCTAACCCATTTCTTTGGATTTTAACTGATGTACCAAGATAGGGCATCTCCATTGAGGCTCCACATGAACAATTTCATGCGAATCCTTTTATCCTTTCCAACTCATACAAGTTTTCACAGTATGTCCTTATATGCACCTTTGGGTCACCTGTTCCGTCAAACATCTCGAACTTAGGAGGTTTGTAACCCTCTGGCAGTTCTATGTCCGGCTGAATACACAGATCCTCATAATTAAAACCTTCGACGCCTTTACCACCCTCAACACCTTGGACTCGACTAGTAAGCTTCTTAAGTTCCTCTGCCATGTTCTTGTTGAGCAGGTCCTTCTCGGCTGATTCAGGTATGTATAGGGTTTGTTGTGGAGTGTGGGGTAAGGTTTCCACATATATGGGGTTACTTTGATGGACTCCAGGGATTTAGACGTAGTGGTGATCATTGGTTGAGTTTTGAGGATCGGGGATAGGTTGTGGTGCGTTCTGAGAAGTGTGATAGGTAGTGATTTGTGGATACTGGGTTGGCTGATGATATTGGGGAGGAGTTGGTACTGGTGGATGATTGGGATTTTGAGGCAGTATAGCATATTGGTGAGGTGCGGGAGGATTTTGTGGATGCTAGTTTGGTGTATTTTGGGGAGGTGTTGGGTTTTTGGTGTTTTATTGGTTGCTATCGGGGACGTTCAGGATAATGGAGAGATTTGCCAAGTTCCGGACCTACTCAAGCTCCCCTTGTAACTCCAATATCTTTTGTTCCAGTCACAAAACTAAGTCATTTGGTGCTGGAGTGCTTCGACCATCTGAAGTTTCAGCATTGTCCTCATGTGTGGCGTTATCTTTCCTGATGTTGCTTGTATCATCCATTTTGGCCTTTCCCTTGCTTTTAGGATCGTTTTGAGGAGGAGGAGGTAGAGGACCTCTTGATCTGGTATGATATGCTGATGATGCTAGTATGTACGAACCAACCTTAGGGGATGGGAATAAACAAATCAAGAAAAGAAGAAAACAAAAAGGTAAACAAGTCAGTGAGGAGTATAAAGAGGTTGCTTGCAGTATTTAAACACATATTGCGGAATAAATTTGCGTCCTAACTTGGGGACCTCATTGTGCCCGAGGTAGGCCTAAGCGACATATAGATTTGGAGAAAAACGCCAATAACTACGTCATTTCATTAATATGAAAAATAAACTGAATCTCTAATAATGCGATAATAAATAGTCACTAATGGCATGTGCCTTATTACAACCAAAACCTAAAACAGGTCTAGAAAACAAGTAAAACATAATTTTTTAATCTATCTAGTCCCAGAAGGACCTTCTCCATGCTTGGCCTTCTTTGCTCCATCAATCAAGTTCCACAGGTCGCGCATGTCTAGCAGAAGATACGCCCTTGCTAGGAGACCTCCTTCGTTTCCTTCCATGTTTTGACAGCCTGTAACCCTGTTTCTCATTTTCCCTTCCAGTTCCATCAATCGTTGCTCCAACCTCTCCATTGATTTAATGGCTATCTCCCTCCATTCTTTGATTGTTTCCACATCTGCTTTGTGATGTCCCAATTGTCTGGTCTCAGATTCAAAAATCCTTTTGCATAACCTCCTATATTTGACTTGGGCCTCGGCAGCATCGTCTATGACCCTATTCCCCAAATCAATCTCTGGCTTGACTTTTCCCGCTATGTCATCGACTAACCATGATGGATAAAAATGCACATGGCCAGCATGGTATCGATCTGGCTCGATGGTATCCTTCTCTACCATGAATTTTAGATGCCAAATGTGTTGCGCCCCGTGCTTGAATGGAATAACATCACCTTGGAAATATGCTTTGTAGTGAACCATCTTGGAGACTCGGGGTATGACTTGTTTCCTCCCAGCCTGTCTCATGACCCTAATAGGAGCATAGGGATAGATACCCCTCAACCCAATCAGCACTAAATGAGGAATATCTCTTGACCTGATGATAAACTCACAGGTAGGGAACCACTCGAACATCCAATGGACCTTGTCGTCCATCAATTTGCTAAAGAACTGCACCCAATCCACAACATTTTCCAGTTGTGCAAACCTATCTGGGATGAAAGTCATTCTTTTTGGATGGTGCAAAGCTATGTGGTCATTCCATGGTCGCCGCGAAAATTCCTGACGGTACTGTCCTTTTTGAAGATGCTAAAACAACCATATTTGCAGTAACAAATTGCAGCCCTCGAAATGTCTGAATCCCTTCTTGCAGCGGTCTAAAGCTCGATTTATTTCTTCCACGATCATTGGGACGATAGTGTAATTTTATCCCTCAATTCCTTCCATTAGGGCCTTAGTAACCATAGCCAAACGGGTGTGAATCCTTTCTCCTTGCATTGGGAATACCAGCATCTCTAGAAAATAGACGATGAACACGAAAACTCGACGGTGGGTCCAACCCAATAAGGTTATAGCAAACTCATCATGGTAAAGACGATAGGATTTGCTATGTCCATAACGTGCCTAGAGGAAGCCGAACGATATGTAAGACTTCTTTAAGCAGACTAACTCATCATTCTTTCTAAAACCCATCATTCTCAGAAACCCCCGGGAGATGCGATTCTCAAATACCAATAGACAAGGGCTATCCCAAGGAAATCGAGCAAAGTCCTCTATTTCCTCTAGAAGGGGAGTCATCTTTATGTCCCCGAAACGGAAAACAAACCTCTTTTCATCCTAGAACATAGTAGCGGCCTCGATCACTATATTGTTCGGTTGAATGTCTAGTAGAGAAGGTAGATTCCCAAGAACTCTTTTCACGTGATTTTTTTACTTGGTGCAAGATTTTCCCATCAATCCAGTAACAAAGGTGGGATATTCCGAACCATGCTGAACCTGGGGATCTTGTATCTCATTTCTAAAAAATAGGTAAAGTTAGCCCTTGACCAATCCAAATTCAGCTAATTTCACGCTAATGATCAACATATTGGCATGTTTTTCTCCAAATAATGCATAGATCGTGATTACGTCCATTTGGACTATGGAAATCTGGCGGACTTTGGACAAGGTTTGTCTTAGTGAGTTATTGTGCGGACAGTGTTTTAACTCATACTAAGTTTAGACATGTTACATGCACAACTTACTTTTAGAATGGGGTTTCTAGAAGAGTCTAGACTGGTACCCTCAAGCGGACAACTTGAGGGGGAAAGGTATGGAACCATCGATTGCACCGCTGATCGACTAGTTTTATCGCAAATAAGACTTTCCAAATTTAAAGAGTGATTTAGGAAGAGCGTGGACACTCATCAAGTGCGGCTATTGTATTAATACGCACGAGTGGAATATGATGACGAGCATGCTTTATGCAAAGACAAAATAACATGTTATCAAGTATTTTCACATTGAAAACAGTAAATGCAGTATTGAATGGAACGTAAAGACATAAAAGGAAGGAAAACAAAGAGGAATTTAGTCTGCATAATGAAAGAATTGTAATAAAGCAGATAAAAGGTTAAGGGTTGGGGAGAGATATGATATAGAGAAAGTTTGGAGCAGGTGAACATGATTAGGGAATAAGGGGAAACACATATTGTAATTAAATTAAACGAAGAATCGCATATTCCTACTATTAATAAGAGAGAGTTTGAGGAACTTGGGGTCGTTCGGGGTATTTTGGAAAAATTACAAAAATTTTGGCATAAGTCACGTGTTAACCCTACTTTAATTTTGACACGTTACTTTACACCGCTCAAACGAACATATCTACACTGTTTCCACCCGATTTTCCTAGTCTCTACGCTCTGTTTCTTCCTCAAAATTTCCATCGCTGCTCACCTCCTCTTACAATTTCCCTTGTTTCTTTTAGCCTTCTTTCTTCCTGGACAGTTTATTCGCCTTGATTTACAGTTATACGGTGAGTTTTAGTTTCTTGTTTTCTTGATTTTTGGAATAGCTGCCGCATATAAATTGTAAATCTGCAACTATTTTTACTCTAAAATTCCTTGTTTTCCCAGGTTTTCCCATGCATAGCCCTTAAAAATGAACGGTTTTTTCTCTAGATTTTCATAGTTGTTCAACTCCTTCCTCTTTGAGTCTTCTCTCTTCCTGCTTAGTTTATGTGCGTTGATTGTTGAGTTATAAGGTGAGTTTTGGTTTCTTAATTCTCTAATTGTCGGGTTGCTATAGTATAGAAATTGTCTAAATTGAGTAAATTATTGGTCTTTAATTCTTTGCATTTGTCCAGAAGAAACTGCGAGTGGTTGTGGACTCTGTTGCTTGACCAAAAGTACTTTGAATCAAGGGAAGTGTTAGCGATACTCTTTTCTGGGTTGACTGGTGATGTCCCCTCAGGGGTTGGACTTCAGCAATTAGCCTTTGTTTTTAAAGGTGTTTGAATATTTTTGTTTCTTAACTTCTTTAGTCTTCTAAAACTTTTTTAAGTTTTTAAAATGGTGAAATAAAATGCAACCTAAACCCCCCAAATGGGATTTAAAGGACTAACTGTGTGCATTCCTTTTCAAGTAATTTGAGGGTTTTTTTGTTGAAAAACAAATTGGGATATTTAGCGTTGTTTCCCATTTCAGTTGGGGTCGAATTTAATTCCCAGAATTAGCATTTAACCCCTTTGAGTATATTTGTTGATGTTGTTCTTGAAGCATTTGGTGGGTTCAGTGATCTTGATGTATCTGTTTATGCTTTTAAAGGTGTTGGAATGATTTTACCTTTTGCAAGCCAAATTTGAGAATGAATAAAGTACCTAATGATATTTATTAGTTTCTTTATAGAAATAGTTCATATTAGCAAAATGAATTACAATATGAAGTGATAACTGTAGATTCATAGTTGGATTTAATAGTTAGTGTCATAAAACTCTATTACTGTTCATGAAAAGTTTTTTTTCTGCTCCTGGTTGTAATGAAAGACCACAGATCTGTATTTAGCATATAAATTTCACAATGTAATGTTATTGTCTTACAATTTGATGATCTTTAAGCTATAAATAAGCTTAGACGATTATCAACTTTACAAAGTGATTTACTCCGGGGTACACATATTAGATGCAACAAGAATCACTTAAGTTTTATTACTCTTACTATAATTTATTAATGGAAAAAGTTTAATCCTTTCAATAGATTTGGATAAGGAACAAGCACAACTCTGTATTTGGTGTATAAATGTTATAAAATAATATTATTGTCTCATAGTTGATTGGCAATCTTTAAGCTATAAATATTAGGTGACTGTCAAAACTAATGTAATACTTGCTCTTAAGTTACATTTTATCCTACAAGCTCTGTATTTGCTGTCATTGTATGAGCTCTATGATGCATTCTTATTTTGGTAGCTATAAAGAATAGAGTACTTAACGATATTTTGTTTAAACAAAGGAGAACTTTGATGTAGCTAAAGTCCTCGACAGATGATAATATATTTTATGTGTTATATATTTTTCTAAAGGATGTGTCATGTCTTCAATTGTTGTATGCATAGTTCTTATAGTTGTCTCTGGAAGTATTATGGGATTTATAGAAAATGGATATGTCCCAGGTCTGATTGTGATTTTGTGGAAATATATAAAACTTTGTTGTCACTGATCGATAGATCTCAATAGTAGCAAAACTCTACTACAGCTTTGTTGCACCAATGGCAAAGTTTGTTGTTATGCTTTTGCCTTATTTGACTATAATATACATTTCTCTTCATCGTTTTGGAAATTATGTAGAGTACAATATGTATGAAGCTTATTATTGGTATTAAGTATATCTAAATAGCAGATGATCAATTGATGACAAGCTGAGTTAAGTTTTTTTTTTGCGCAACAATTTTTGGCTTATGTTGTGTCAATAGAATGGTTGACTCTTACGGTTTTGTCTTATTTGGGCTCTAATGTTGAAATTTTTTTACCGTACTGAAAAATTTGTGGATGCTTTGTTGCTCTCCATTGTCCTTGGTATAATATTTGTATAAACTTCTTATTGAAAAAGGTGCAACGTTTAAATTACACGCCTTTGCTCTTTATATTTTGATGTCATGTATTTATAGTATACTAAGTGTTATCTGTTGTTCCCTTTTAAATATTTGTAGAAAATAATATACACAATTGTTCATGCATGGTCTTTGTTTCAAACTAATAAAAAAATTCATTGAATTTTAGGTTGCAAAAGTGATTGGCTGACACTTACAAAACTTAAATTTCTTCGTGAATGGATCACCAACAAAAAAGAAAACAACCTTGCATAACAACAAAAACTCATGATAAGAATTCCAAGCGGCGTGAACTGTATCGTGACATGGCCACGACTAAAAAGAACGCACTTCTGCTGCAACGCCGCCTCAAAAAGAGAGAGGCAACAACTAATCGTCTTCTTGGAAGTAGAAAATCTATCAATCTTGCTGAATCAATGTCTGCAATTCAGGAAAATGTTATTGTTGGAGGCTCTTGTTCTATTTCAAAAATAGGTTAGAATATCAAAGTCATTATTCCTTATTTCCTCACATATGTGTCTTCTATATGAGTGTGTATGCGCAGTGGTTACGCTCCTGCAATCTCTGTGTTTACAAATTATATTTTATTCCAGTTGCAACTGATCATGATACTTATTTTTCGTCGTTTACTACGTGCAAACATTTAATCGGCAACTATCTTGAACCAGGTTCGACATCAAGTACTTCAGGTAAATCGAGTGCTCCAACTACTGAAATAGTTCTGGTCGATGGTTAGTATCCACAAAACACTTTAACTCTGTTGTTCCTTATTTTCTTCTTTTCTATTCCTTAAGGTTGTTTGACATATGCAGGTCACATAAAGAATAAGAGAAATATGAGTAATATTATCCGATTATGCCCTAATTATGTGCCGTTAAAAAAAGTTCCAAACTGTAAATTCTGCTTCGCAAAAAAAAATTTCAGTATGAATCACCTGGATTTTGTTGTGCCCACGGTTTAGTTAAGTTAACTTCTGAGAGAATGCCACTTAGACTGAGAAATTTATATACAGGAACTTGTGCAAAATCCAAACACTTTAAGACATACATTAGAACATATAATAATCTATTCGCTTTTACCTCACTCGGTGCCACTTATGACAAAGATTTAGCCAAGAGAAATCGTTGTATATATACATTCAGAGTTCAAGGACAAATATATCACTTTATAGATGATTTATATCCTAGAGAGAGAAGGTCGAGAATCTTACAACTGTACTTTTATGATAATGACAACGAGGTTGGAAATTGAATCGCTTGTTCCGACAAAATAAATGAATTAATAGTGAAAGAACTGATGGATATACTAAAAGATAATCCATACTCAATTTTTTTGCGATCTTTAACAGCTATTCCAAACTTGCAAAACTTTCATATTGCATTGAATTGTGATGTTGGATTGGATCTACGAGTATATAATCTGCCTATTACAATTGAGATTGCAGCAATATGGGTTGATGGAAATGATAGTGGTGCTACTCATGCACCACATGTTCAGATTTATACTCATAGCGATAGCACACATAAAGTAAACTATTATTTTGGATGTTATAATCCTTTACAGTACCCGTTGTTATTTCCATTTGGCCAAGGCGGATGGCATTGTGGTATTAAAAAGCTTTGCGACCCAGAAAATATTCCTAGAAATTGCACCTTATTTAAATCTGAACAATTTCCAAATATAAAAAAGTTTAGCTCTGTTGATGGATATCTTGATATGGAAGCTCAAAATCTTGAACAAGGAAAAAACAAAAGAGATGTTGTTCAGTTCGTGAATACTATTGTTATAAGCTCCAAATAAGAAATGATGATGAAGATGAAATTCTACATACATGTAGATTATTTCAGCAATATTCAGTTGATAAGTATATAAAATTGGAGACACACAGATTGAATTTTGTTTCATTCAATCAAGATTTGTTTAGAATGAGTGTACTGCAATGACTTCTTGATGTATTACGACTTGGTAACGTGATGCTTCCAATGTTGGAAAACAAATATTTCTACCAAATTCCTTTATAGGTGGCCCTAGAGATATGTGCCAACGTTACGTGGATGCTATTGTGTTGGTACAACATTTGGAAAAACCTGATCTGTTTATAACTATGACATGTAACCCATCTTGGATGAAAATAGAAGAACATTTATCATCAAGTGATGAGGCACAAAATAGACCTGATTTGATTAGTCGAGTGTTTCGGGCCAAAATAGAAGAGCTGAAGACAGATATATTAAAACGAAATATTTTTGGAAAAGTTGTTGCTTTTATGTATACTGTGGAATTTCAGAAACAAGGCTTACCCCATGCTCATTTTCTTATTATATTAAGTAATGAGTACAAGCTGTTGACAAATGAGGCATATGATGATATAATTAAAGCAAAATTACCAGATAGTAATAAAGAACCAAATTTGCACAAACTTGTTCTTAAGCATATGATGCACGGTCCTTGTAGTAGTTTAAACTCGACAAATTATTGTATGAAAAAAGATTGCTGCAAATTCAAATACCCACAAAAGTTTGTTGATCAAACATCAAAAGGAAATGATTCGTATCCTATATATAAAAGAACAAGAGAAGTTGTGCATGTGAGAGGGCAAGATTTAGATAAATCTTGGGTTGTTCCATACAATCCATATTTACTTGGCAAATATAATTGTCACATAAATGTTGAAGTTTGCTCTGACATCAAAGTCGTGAAATATCTTTATAAGTATATTTGTAAAGGACATGATAAAATTGCATTCAGTGTACAAAATAATGATGCAAACATAGAGATAGATGAAGTGAAAGACTAACGGACTACCAGATGAATATCACCTCCAGAAGCCTAATGGCGTCTCTTTGGCTTTCCTATTAGTGAAATGTCTCCAAGCATTTATCATCTTCAGCTACATCTTGAAGGCCAACAATTTATTTCTTTTAAGAGCAATGTTGATATAAATATGATTGTGAACAATCCGATGATCAAAAAACGATGTTAACAGAATTCTTCTATATGAACCAAACAGATGAAGATTCTATAGAGCTAAATTTATTATACAAGGAATTCCCTGAATACTTTGTGTAGTCCTCCAGTAACAAATTCTGGGCACTTCGAAAACAACGCTCTTCTATTGGTCGAATCATAACGTGTCATCCAACAGAAGGTGAACGGTATTATCTCAGATTATTACTAATGCATGTACGCGGACCGAAATCATATAACAATCTTTTAACAGTAAACGGAGAACCTTGTAGTACTTTCAAAGAGTCCGTGGAGAAAAAAGGATTGTTACATTGTGATAATAGTTTGATAGAATTCATGTCTGAAGCAGCAGGTTATCAGATGTCATACAACCTAAGGCGTTTATTTGCTACATTATTGGTCTATTATAATCCTACCAGTCCAAGACAATTATGGGAGAATTTTGAAGAGTCAATGACCGAAGACTATAAAGTACTACAAACTAATAAAAGAAAAGAAATACGATACCAAGCTTTGAATCATATCAACGACATTTTACATTCTATGGGCCACGATGTTAATGAGTATGAACTCATCCCAGAAACTATTCGGCCTTCAATAGCAGCAAAAGAAGCAAAAGAAGTTCATTTTGAAAAATCTATTACTATAAGTGAAGAAGACGTGTTATTACATACGAGATTAAACAAGAAGCAACTAATAGCATATAATGTGATTACTGATGAATATTTTCGAATAAAGCAGGTGCTTTCTTTGTCGATGGTCCAGGAGGAACTGAAAAAACTTTTTTATACCGTGCTTTATTGGCAACTGTACGATCTATAAGATATATAGCTTTGACAACAGCTACTTCAGGTGTTGCTGCTTCTATTCTCCCGGGTGGACGTACTGCACACTCGCACTTTAAAATTCCTATTGATATTGATGAACATTCCAGTTGTAACATTAGCAAACAAAGTGCACTAGTAGGTTTAATACGAGAAGCAAAATTGATTATATGGGATGAAGTATGGCAATAAAAGAATGCTAGAAGTTTTTGATTTGCTTTTAAAAGATCTTATGAATACAAATGTTTTATTTGATGGGAAAGTCGTTGTTTTAGGAGGTGACTTTAGAGAAACTCTTCCTGTTGTGCGAAATGGAAAGAAAGAAGATTTCATCAATGAAAGTTTGTTATATTCTAGAATTTGGTATGAACTTGAAAAATTACAACTGTCTAAGAACATGAGAGCAAAAATAGATCCTCTATTTTATGATTATTTGATGAGAATTGGAAATAGATAAGAACAAGATAGCTCAACGAATTAGATTAAATTTCCTGATTCTTTGGTTATCCCTTTCACAACCGAAAGAGAATCTTTAGATAAGCTATTCACAGTGACATATCCAAATTTGAATTCGTTCAACTCCAACACATTCTGTACAAATTCTCATGTAATTTTGACTACAAAAAATAATTTTATAAATGAAATCAATGACATGCTTATTGACCAATTTCCAGGAAAAGTAAGAACATTTACCGGCATTGATGAGACCATTGAATTGAATAATTAAACACAATTTGAAGATTTATTACACAGTTTAAATCCTCCAAGTTTGCCTCCTTATAAATTATCTTTGAAAGAGAATTGCCCCAATATGTTATTGCGTAACTTAAATCCATATGAAGGTTTATGTAATGGCACACGACTGACCTGCTGTGATTTTAAAACTCATGTGATAAGTGCTAAGATTTCAACAGGTGACTTCAAAAATACGCATGTATTTATACCGAGAATACCGTTATTATCATCACAGGATGAGAAAATGCCCATTTCATTTAAGAGAATACAATTTCCAATAAGATTGTGCTTTGCTATGACTATAAATAAAGCACAAGGGCAAATATTAGATTTTGTAGGGATTTATTTGTGGGAACCTATATTTTCGCATGATCAACTTTATGTTGCTTTATCGAGAGCTAAAAATTCGAACTGTGTAAAATTTCTGATTCGACCACCTACGCCGACAAGCTATGATGATCATTCTACATGTAGCATTGTTTATGATGAAATCATTCGAAAGGCAGCTAGTTGATGTTTTTGGCATAAGATGATCTTGTAGGTTTACCGTTCTTTTCGTACTTCATTATTCTGTATATACATGTTACCATGTCTTACTTTTGATAAAGTATTTTGCGTAACCTTTTTTCTTTCTTACTCCAGTTGCCAACACAATAGCTTTCATCTCAACAAATGAAGTAAAAGAAATGTCAAAACGAAGACGCTGGGCAAATTACTTAACTCGGTAATCCGAGTGCCAACTATATGGCTTCTCATTCTCTTACTTTTACTTATATTATGTTATCTACAATTGAAAATTTTCTTATTCTTTGATATGATCATCAGCTAAAAATCCTTGGATGGTATTCCAGTTTTAGTGGTTGATTATAACGAACATGTTATTGGCTACTCCTGCCAAAATTCACGGATTGCTTGACGCTTCAAGTTCTATGTTTCTTGATATTTACCACACATCATGTGATTCCCATGTAACTACTATTTGTTTCTTACTATTTATTTCACTACCATGTCAATTATGTCTATATTATATTAAACAGATGTTTCATTCTAAGATGACAATAAAGAGTAGAAGAGTTAATAGCAACAGTTTAGATTCTCCCATCTGGTGTGTGTTTATTCTGGCTTATAAGTATAATTACATTTACTATATTAAAGAAGATAGGAGATCGTGAATTATTCGAATTACCAAGATTTTCAATCTTTATCGTTTGATCCATGATACAAAATTGTAAGGTTTCTCCCTCTCTATCTTTTTTCTTTTCTGTTTCTTTTCCGTCGAGAACATTAGATTTGGGAGTGAAATGAACAATATCTATTACGAAATCCAAATGGGTGTTAACGAGCAAGACACAATTTTTACGAAATCCAACTGAGTTCTATAAATCTTTTCTTGGTTTTCTATTTTCTCTATGTGATTGGATTGACTCATTAGTGGAATTGATTATAATATGCATTCAAGTGGGTTCTTCTTCATTTTATTGACCCATTGTGCATTTGTAATGTATTGGAGTTGATTGTAGACTTAGAGTAATCTGTTTCAGTTATTACTTTGTTTTGAATTAGAAATACATGAATGTGTGATTATTTGGGCAATTGAAGTAGGAAAAAGAGGAACTTTTTAATTAGAATTATGTAGAGTATTTCTTTTTAGTTCGTAATTTTAAAATTTGAAGAATATATCTAGAAGTGTGTACTAGAGCTAGACCATAAAAATTATATTTGTATAAAAGAAAATCTGTTGTGATGAGTAGAAAGTTGGCATATTGTTGTACATTTTTCACTAAATAACAGATGAGGTTTGGAAGATTGACTTTCTTGATTCTATTGGCAGAAAGTATTTTAGAAGAATGTCATGGGGTTGAGCAAAACTAAAGTGAACTTGAAGAGATTACTTGTAAATGCACCACAGCAGCAAAATCAAGCAAAGTTTATACATGTAAGTGCATATATCATTCAAGTTCGATTCTTTATAAAGGAATGATGATTGCATTTTCTCATTTTTCTTTTCATTCTTCGAAGTACCTTGGGTGCTTTTTGTTGCATTTATGTGAGACTGGTCACGAATATGATGAGTTTATCATATCATTGATTACATTGTGTTGTTTTTTTTCTTATAGATATATATTAAGATATTATATTCTTAGATTGCCGAGCACCTCTATGTAAAACAATAAGAAAATCTGATGCTTGCTAACGTTGCCTCAATCTGCTTAAAGATTTACAATTTATTCTATACTTTCACTGATAGTATCGTAAATGCTGCTGGATTCAAATGTAGTTGCATGCGACTTTTGAGTGCAAATTCAGCTACTACTGGATTTGGAATTGGATATGAAGTACTGAACCCGAATAAATCTGTACTTATTAGTTCAACTTCTACTGCTTAATTGAATTATACTATTACTGTAGGTTTTTAAATTGATATGCACATAAATCTGTTGCTCCAACGAGTTTTTTGCTTCGAACAACTAAACTGTTGGTGTTAAATTATGTATGCTTAAAAGCTTGACCTTGAATTTTCAGTCACAATAAAATTTTCACTGATTATGTAATGGCACAACTTATTGGTGAGGTAGAAAACATGATACACCTGTGGTCTCTAAATGTTCATATTTTATACTACTTTTGCTGACTAATCATATACTTTTTTGGCAGAATTTTGTTCATATTGTGGATCTTGAAGACATGATCCCTGAAAGAAGGGGTATTACATCTTTGAATACATAAATGGTAACCTTGGGGTTCCCTATCTAAAGATCCAATCCCTCTTCGTTCACCCAGCACAACAAGAGCATACTTTCTTGAATCAGTACGTGTACTGCAAAAAAAAAAAAAATAGTGGTTACTTTAAAATTTCCTTGGTCTGTCAGATTGATTCTCACTCAATTATTGCAGCATAATCTGCATGTTGGTTCTTATGTGAAGAATCGAAAAGAACTTTATTTATACGGTAACACATCCGGTCCCAAGCCCAAAGGAGGAGAGTTTACTATCTCTTAACAGTAAGATCGCCGATTGTTCTGTGTTCACTTTATGATTTGATTCTACTTATCATTAATTATTCTTCTCTATTATGATAGATTTGCCTCGCTCCGTCACCACATGATTTGTCTCCTAAAATAGTCAGAATGCTATTAACGGAATCCTAAAAGTTAAGCTTTTGCTGCTAACTATTTTATACACCAAGTAAATTTGATCTTTTGCAAAGCAAGTCAGAATCTATAGAAAGTTATGCAAATTCTTAGCAAAGAGACCCTGGGGTTATTATTCCCGGGACCTTACCTTAAGTTAGTACATTCATATTTGCTTTAAATCAATGATAAAGTTAGTTGCCTCTATTATATAGTTGCGACACTTTCTGTTTGATAATCTGTAGTCATAAATAGGGACAGTGGAAAGTTGGGTCCTAAAAACTGCGGGGAACACTTGGATTAGACGGGAAAAAGTTCCAGTATGTAAAGGCCAATTTGATACTGTGACAGCGCTAATGTGACGACTCGGTCGGCCGTCTTAATAATTAACGCCCCGATCCTCTATTAACTGCTTTCCCCAAGTTTAATTCTGCTATTTTAATTTGCCGGGATGTTCGGTGTTGAGTTTCGGAGAGTTTTGGGACACTTAGTCCCTAAATGAGAGTTTAAGTGTTGGAAAGTTGGCCGTAGTTGAAACAGTGTGAAGATCGCCTCGGAATGGAAATCCGATGGTTCTGTTAGCTCCGTTAGGTGATATCGGGCTTAGGCGCGTGTTCGGATTGTGTTTTGGAGGTCCGTAGCTAAATTAGGTTTGAAATGCCGAAAGTTGAATTTTTGAAGTTCCGATCCGATAATGAGATTTTGATCCGAGGGCCGGAATGGAATTCCAGAAGTTGGAATAGTTCCATAGTGTTGAATGTGATGTGTGTGCAAAATTTCAGGTCATTCGGACGAGGTTTGATAGATTTTTTGATCGAAAGCGTATTTTGAGAATTTTGGAGTTCTTAGGCTTGAATCCATGGTTAATTCAAGGTTTCGATGTTGTTTTAGGTGTTTTAAGGATTGGTACAAGTTTGGGTAGTAGTTTGTGACTTGTTGGTGCCTTTGGTTGAGGTCCCGGAGGCCTCGGGATGATTTCGGATGATTGACGAAAAGATTTTGAAATTTTAGTTGCAGCTTCAGCTGCTGGTTTTGTCATAACCGCACCTGCGGTTTGGGTTCCGCAGGTGCGGCGCCACAGAAGCGAAATTGAGGGAGGGCAGCAGGTTCCGCAGATGCGGGAGATTTTTTGCAGAAGCGGAACCGCATCTGCGAGTTGGAGACCGCAGGTGCGGAAATTGGCCATTAAATGAAAAGTTGCAGATGCAACCTTGGCTCCGTAGAAGCGGGACCGCAGATGCAGTCCCAAGGCCGCAAATGCGAAAATCGCTGGACAGAACATATAAATTCTTGTCTTCGCGAAATTTAGCCATTTTTCATTTTTTTCAAAACGGGAAGAAACTTGGGGAGCACTTTTCAAGAGGGATTTTCAGAGGAGTTCATTGGGGTAAGGTCTTTGGTCCCTAAACTCGTTATTAGAGTGATTTTTATATATTTAAGCATGAAAAATTAAGAAAAATCAGTGGTAATTGGGGGTTAGGGCTTGTCTAATTGGAGACTTTTGAGTGATGATTTGAGGGATGAATTGAGATCCGATATTGGTACTTTTGATATGACTGGACTTGTGAGAGTGCGAAGTTTCTAAAAATATAAATTTTACCTGATTTTGAGACGTGGGCCGAAGGGGTATTTTGGTCATTTTACCTAATTTCGCTTATTAGCTTAGAATATAATTGTAGAATTAGTTACTTGAAGTGTTATTTACATTATGAAATTGAACTTAATAGATTTGGGTCATTTGGAGTCGAGTACTAGTGGCAAGAGCATGGTTTCGGATTGATTTTTGAACCGGTTCGAGGTAAGTGACTTGTCTAACCTTGTGTGGGGGACCTTCCCCTTAGGATATGATATATTTGGTAATTGAAATTCCTTGTACGTGAGGTGACGAGCGCGTACTTGAGCTAATTGTTGAAATTCCAGTTTTTCCTTAAGTATTTCAATTGAGTTCTTTTTTTTTTCCTGTTTTATTCTACTTGCGAATTTAGCATATTGCTAGTTTAGAAAAGCATGTTTAGTTGACCTAATTGCATGTTTGCTTAAACTGCCTTAATTGTATTACGTGAAGCATGTTAGGCTAGAAATAACTGTTACTTGGTACAAAATTTAGCTTAATTAGGTATTCTTGTGTTGCTGCTGTGTGTTTTTTTACTTTGGGACTACGGGACGGCATCCTGGGAGATCCCATGTACGTATTTATGATCTGAACTGAGGTGCGGGATACCAAGAGATCCATGGCACGTATATTGAGGATACTAAGAGATCCTCGGGATACCAAGAGATCCATGGCACGTATATTGAGGATACTAAGAGATCCTCGGGATACCGAGGGATCCCTAGCATATATTGAGGATACCAAGAGATCCTCGGGATACCAAGAGATCCCTAGCATATATTGAGGATACCAAGAGATCCTCGGGATACCAAGAGATCTCCGGCTATCATCGTTGTTATGAGTGGTACTTCCTGGTGTTTGCCTTTATTTCTGTTTCCGTTATTGTACTCCTTGTTATCCTGTGTAGATTCTTACTGTAGATTCTCAATTGTACTGTTTATCTTATGTTGTCATCTTATGATTTATTTAACCTCAGTAGGGCCCTGACCTTCCTCGTTACTACCCGACCGAGGTTAGGCTTGGCACTTACTGAGTACCGATGTGGTGTACTCATGCCCCTTCTGCTCATGTTTTTTATGTGCAGATCCAGGTACCGCTACTCAGGCCTACCCCCTTGAGGGAGGCGACTGTTTTAGAGACTTCGAGGTACATCTGCCGCGTCCGCAGACCGATGAGTCCTTTCTATTCCTGCTTTTAGTATTTAGCCCTTCTGTATTTTTCTATTCTTATTAGATATTCCGGAGTTAGAGCTATGTAGTATTTTTCTTAGCTTGTGATTCGTGGGTTTCCAAGTCTTGGATTTACGTATTGGTATCAAGAGTTAAACATGGTGTACGTCGAGCGGCACATTTAAACACTATTATTACTTTATTCTTATTTTAAATTGTTTTACTTCCGCAAATTTTAGTTTTTCTTCTGCAATTTAGGCTTACCTAGTCGTAGAGACTAGGTGCCGTCACGATGGTTCACGGAGGGCGAACCGGGATCGTGACAGCTAATTCCATGAAACTTTTTGTTACTGCTCTTGCCATGAATTGGAAAACTAGCTAAGGTCATTTCTGTTTTTGTTGCTCATTCTTTTTCAGAAGCTTGGAATGCTCAAGAAGCAAAGCATGGAACATACAAGTTCAATCACCTTGTATACTCCGATAGTCAAAGGCAAAAATGATGAGGATATGAGTGTAAGTTCCTCTTAATTAGTCCTTTTAACTTATAGGAGAAACTAACTAAGCAACTATGTTGTACCAATGTATGTCATTTTTAATTTTTTTAATTGATACATGATATGATGTTTTATCAAATTCTCAAACTTGGGCAACTTTTAAAATAAAAATTAATTACATCAGTAGAGCTAAGTGGAATATTTTTGGACAGATTGAAAAGGTATGATGAGTGCTTCCCTTCATGTAATCTACTTTGTTTGTTATTGAGTAATTTGATTCTCAAAATGATGTGCAATTCCAGAGCTTCATAGGTATGGTCCTGTCCTTGAATGCATTATCACAATACTGAAGAATTAGCATTGGAAAAGAGGCTGTTCAACTGCTTTCAAAAGACAAATATATGGGTCTTCCTCTCTTCCCCTTGGCCCTCTTCCCGTCTTGTATACCCTTGCTGCTATTAGCATTCTGCCTACTCTTATCATCCTCCATTATTCCAGCACTTCTCACTTTATTCTAAGAAATGAATCCTGCTTGGTTTTTTAATCTTAATTAGAAAACTTCATATACAATTAGCTTTCTCTAAATTTGCTCAAAGGGATTATATACATTTATTTGATTCTATTCTTTGTAGGTCCTCTTCATGGGATTCGGTATGGTCTGAAGAACATTATTGGCTTTCAAATCTTTCAAGAATGAAGTTCTTGATGTTGAAGCTTGGACTTATAAGAGGTATTGATATTTAATGAATGTAGAGACCGCATCCAGAAGCGACCTTGTGCATATGTTTGTATAACTTATAGATACGGATGCAAGCTGAAATCTACTGCTGCAGTTTTTGTTGCAAAATTGGTCGCTGGTTCTAAATAGGGAGAGTTTCACGAGCTTCGGGTTGTCCTTGCTAACCAGAGGATAAAATTAGAATTTTATCAGTTTGACTCATTGTTTTAATACCGTGCCAACTGGATATCTACATTCAAAGAGCAGCGCGTGTAGGTTTTGTAAAACCTGCCTGCCAAGTGCCAACACAAGTTTTCTCAGTACAATGTACTATTTGCCAACCCTTCTGATTATAGTTGATCCCCTTCTTCATTTTGTTTTGCCCTGTTCAATTTTCTCTTTACGATTGGTTGGTGGTCCTTTTTTTTTTCCTCCTGTTCCCCAAGTTGGCACTGCTGAAACTAAAAAACATGAGTTTTGCTGAAGGGTGAGTTTTGCTGAAATTTTTCTTCTTTAAGCTTTCCCTGCTATCTACTACTGCTGACAAGCTAGACATGCTTCTTTTATTAGCTTTCTGTTTCATCCTGATTAATATGATGGCTCTATTTTGTTTCATCTTGATTAATTTCATAGCTCTACTTAGCTTCTTAACTGATATATAACGAACTATTTGTGATTTAACATATGTAAATTAAGTTATTGTTAGTGAAAGCTGTGGAAATTATGTAGGAAGTACTTATATTTCACAATAAGTGAGCTACATCAAGAGTACGGAAATTGTTTGAGCACTACAAAACGCAAAAAACTTTTTACTTTTTTTTTTTTATTAACTTGGTAAAAAAAATCATTTTCCAAGAGAGAAGATGTGGCTCCTCTTACACCAACTCTCGGAGATTTTCAAATTTGTCACTGCTGATTTAATTAGTATACGTTGTATGCAACTCTTTGAGGTATTGGTTTATGTATTCCTCTCTCTCATAGAATTGCATCATGGTATTCAACCTTCATAAAGCTATAAACCTTTAAAATAGTTAAACCACAGAAGCATGAAATATCATTTGGGATCATCAATTTAGGAGGAACATTGGAAGTTGGAGGAATTTCAGAGGCTGGTTGAAATGATTAACAAACAAACCATTTCATTAGAGAGTCCCGATTCTTGGAGATGAGACTTTAAGGAATGATGATCGATTCCCAGTGTAGTCTTTTGCTTGCTAGATTAGGGATTTTAACTACCGAAAATTTGAGTAAGAAGAGGATCTCCTATGTTAGTTGGCCTTAATATAAGTTGTACAGAGAAAGAAATAAGATATTGTTTGAAGGAAGTGAACTTGATTTTGTACATTTGAATAACATTCTCTTATCTTATTTTTGTAGCTTAATCTACACCTTAGTATACTTCTTCTATGCGACATGGTTTTCTCCATTGTTAATGAATTAACGCTCTGAATAAAAAATTCTCATTATTCACCATTTGCTAATGTTTTGGTTTCGTATTGTAGAATATAAGTCCTAAATTTCTACGGAGAGCTTAAATTTTTTGCGAAAAAATTTCATTCTAAGATGCACGCCAGAGAATCAAGAGTTTTCTTTTGGTGCACCAAGTAACTTTCCGCTGTCTATGGAAATGCATACCACCTGTTTGGTATCTCAATTGTGAACTGCGCTTGTCCTTCGACTGTAATATTTTACTTTAAATGCAACGTAACTGCGGAATATGTAATCATCTAGAGCTTTATCTAAGCAGTTTTCAAAGCATTTGATAATCGCAATTTTAGTCAAAGAAATAATTACAGTAACAAAAATCAAAAGCACTAAATTACCAGGTGGTCTGTGTTTTCATTTGATCAACTATTTTCACAGTTTATTCCGATTTTTTATCGCACTATAGTTCTAAATCATCTACAGTAGTTTACAAAGCATTTGAGAATAGTCATTTTAATCAAACAAAGTGTTACATTGGAATGTCGAAAATCAAAAGCACCAAATTACCAAGCGGCCGCGATCAATTCCAATCTTTTACAGACACTATAATTACAACTTTTGGATGCAACTTTATAGGAGAAAAAAGAAATTCACAATAATTGGGCCCGGGCTTAGCCCGGCTACTCCTAACTAGTGAGTTCATATAAAGGCGAAATGGGGAAAAAGATGTGTATGTAGCAATAAAAGGGAAAAATGGGAGCGCTTATCAGCAAAATAACAAAGACACGCTTATCAGAGAAGACTAATTCACAAAGATCAAGTTCATTTATGGTAAGAGCCTAAATATATCCCCGCCAGAGTCACCCCTTTTTCTCGCGAAATCAGGTTTCGACATGTGACAACTCTTTTAAGAAAGGGTTTAAAAAGAGAGAGTCACTACCTGACGGGTTAAGGTACGTTAGGGCACTTATTTGTAGATAACTTTGTTTAACCAGTTTGCGCCACCAAAGATCGGGTAAGGGCTCAAAATTACCTTGAAGAGAAGGTGTTAGGCACTCTTCGAGGTCCACAAATGTGGGTCCCGCCCGAACTCAATTATGTAAATTATTATAATAAAGAAGCGAGGGGATTAATTAATAGGGATGGGGAGTCCTAAGTTATTTAGCCTAAAGGATCACCCCGTATAACATAAATAGTACTTTGTAACTCCCACAAGGCGGGGTGTTACTCATATTATTCAGCGGACACAGACTATCATTTCCTGCTACCCGATTACTATCTTTTAGTTATTCACTTAAAGCGATCTAATCAATTCTAACTCGTATCCTATGTGTGCACTATCCATCCCTTACCTATGGTCCTAGAGGCATTGAGACCTCTATTTTGGATGGTTCTAGACTCAACTTAGGTTGCTCAAAATTGTAAAACTATTCTACATAAAAAACAAGTTGGAATTTTCATACAAGAGCAGAAAAGGCTCAATTTACATTAAGCAGCAAATGCACGCAAATAGATTAGCATGTTGATAGTTTTAACAGTTAAGGCTATTGGATCCTATAGATATGATTTCTACGTGATTCTGGATTTTAAACATGCTGACAATTTATGAAAGTAATTTCTAGGTGATTCTGTAATTGTCTATTGATTTCAATTATAAGCATTTAAACCTATAGGCATGTTATCTATGTGATTTTCTCGACAGTTGACAGTAGTGACAACAAAAAATGCTCAAAATTAGTTACTCTTATAAGCATGTTTTCTAATGGTATTTAGCAAGACACCATGTTGAATCCAGTTTTAATACTTGGCACAAGTGATAGTTATCCCTATAGGCATGTATTCTACTTTTGAAACTACCATTATAGACATGCAGGTTAGCCAGGCGAGTATGATAATTAATTAAAGCCTATAGCCATGATCTCTACAGAAGCAGATTTAAATATGTTGTAAGTTGAACTTGATTATTGTACTTTCTATAGGCATGGTATCTAATCATGCGAAGTACAATAGACAGTATACTAGCAGAACTTATTTGCCAGAATAAAATTCCTATAGGCGGGTTATCTAACATGCGATGGCAGACATAAATATTTAGACAAGTGTAACGACTCGGCCGGTCGTTTCATGAGTTACCGCTCCGTTTTCCCCATTTCTGCTTCTTTATGTGTTGTTCAGCTTCATTTCATCGTATCGTGTTGGTTGGTTCGGGTTTGGAGTAGTTTTGGAGTGATATGAGACACCTAGTCTCTTAAGTTGGCCATTTAGTTGGAAAATCAATCGGGAGTTAACTTCTGAGTAAACAATCTCAGAATTTGGATTTTATGGTTCAGATGGCTTCGTTAGGTGATTTGGGACTTAGGAGCATGATTGGAATGTAATTTGGAAGTCTGTGGTAGATTTAGGCTTGAATTGGCGAAATTGGAATTTTGCGTTTTCCAGTTGGTAGTGAAAATTTTGATATCGGGGTCGGAATGAAATTCTGTAAATTGGAGTAGATCTGTTGTGTCATTTGTGATGTGTGTGCAAAATTTTAGGTCATTCGGGTGAGGTTTGATAGACTTTTTGATTGTTTGCGGAATTCGGAAGATTTGGAAACCTTAGGCTTAAATCCGAGGGTGTTTTGATGATTCGATTTGTTTTGAGTGTTCCGAGGGTTGGTATAGGTTTGAATAATGGTACGTGACTTGTTCGTATTTTTTGTTGAGGTCTCGGCGGCCTTGGGATGATTTCGGATGGTTATCGGAAAGTTTGGAAATTTGAGTGTGCAGTTGAAGCTGATGGTTCTGTCATAACCACACTTGCGGTTAGGGGACCGTAGGAGCGAGGAAGTAGCCGCAGATGCGGCCACAAGTGAAAAGGGCAAAAGCCGCAGGTGCGGAAGAAGCAACGCACCTGCGAGACTGCGGTGCGGGTTAGGAGTCGTAGATGCGGTTCCAGGGCAATAAGTAAAAACCGCATATGCGGTTGCTTAGACCGCAGAAGTGGGAAAAGGACTGCAGGTGCGGAATCCCTGGGTAAGAAAGTATATAAGTTTCTCTTCGCGAAATTTGGGTTGTTTTTCACCATTTTTATCCGGAGTTGAAGCTTTTTAGAGGGTTTTGAAGAGGGAATCAAGGGGGTTTTCGTTGAGGTGAGTTTCTGGACCTAAAACTTGATTCTATGTTGATTTTTAGTTGTTAAGCATGAAATTTATGAGATTAAAGGTGAAAAATTGGGGAAGTTAGGGCTTGAAATTAGAGAGGTAAAATTGGGGATTTGAGGGGTCATTTGAGGTCCGAATTTGATGTTTTTGATATGTATGAACTTGTGGGAAGATAAGGATTCTATTAATATGATTTTTATCGGATTCTGAGACATGGGCTCAGGGGTCGGGTTTGACCAATTTCGAAATTTTTGATGTAATTTGATTATTTTTGCATGGGCTTCGTTCCCTTAACATATATTGTTATGATTCTGATTTTGGATAGATTCAACGTGAGTTAAGGCCGAGTCGAGAGGCAAGGGCGTTGTGGAGTATGATTTCATCCAGTTTGAGGTAAGTAACGATTGTAAATCTAGACCTGAGGGTATGAAACCCCGAAATTTCCTACTATTTTGATAAATGAGGTGACACACATGCTAGGTGACGGGCGTGTGGGCGTGCGCCCGTAAGGATTGTGACTTGGTCCGTCCCGTGGCAATTGTATAGTTGCATATTTTGATATACTGTATATAATATCCATATGTTTTAGCAATGAATCTGTTAACTTGGGTTGAAAGCCATGTTTGGGGCCTTTGTGCCGAACTGTTTAGACCCTTAGGGGTATTTTACTACTTTCCACACTGTTTTGATTTGAAAGTATATCCTTAGTCATATTTTACCTGTTTATTGTTTAATCCGGTTTCATTACTCTACTTCTTAATATATGACAACTGTATGGGCTGAGTTTCCCTGATTTTTACTGAAATGCCCGAGTGGCCATGAGGT